CCACCAAGGCACCCTTAACAGTTGACTCTTGAACAATGGGGGATTAGGGGCATTGACCTTCCACACAGGCAAAGGTTCACATATAACTTTTGATTCCCCCCAAAACTTAACTGCTAATAGCTTACTGTTGAGCCTTACTGATAAGGAGTCAATGCATGTTTTGTATGTTATATGTATTATATACTGTATTCTTACAATAAACTAGAGAAAAAAGATGTTAAGAAAATCATATACGTTTGCATTATTACACATTACATTTACAGTACTATATCAGAAAAAATCTGTGTATGACTAGACCCATACAGTTCAAACTCACGCTGTTCAAGAGTCAACTGTATACCAAACATCTGGAAATTAGCAAAAGAAATGCCTTCTGCTCATCTCTGTAACAAGAGAACAGTTTCCCTAGTATAAGCTCCCACCCAAAAAGTCTAGAGCCAGACTAGTGCCAACTCAGCCATTAATGGGGAACAATGAGAAAAACAGAAAAAGTGGGAGATAGATCCTTCTAAATGTCCAATGATCTTCCAGCTTCCTTGTTTCTTTAATGTAGCTTAAATTCTTTCATTCTTCAACATGCTCTTGGGTCCTCTTCCCTTGACAAACTATAAAGTGTCCTATAAAGAAATTTTTCCCAGGGTGCCTGGGTGGCTCAGTCAGTTGACCATCCGATTCTTGATTTCACTTCAGGTCACGATCCCAGGGTTGTGGGATCAAGCCCCATGTTAGCCTCCATTCTGAGTATGGAGTCTGCTTAAGATTCTCTCTTTCTCCTTTTGTCCCTCTCCCCCAGTTACGCTCCCTAAAATTAAAAAAAAAATTAAAAAAAAAAAAAAAAAAGAAATATTCTCCCATCTCTGTAACGTAAATAATGCAATTCCTACCTCACTGTCAGCTCCCAAGACATTGATTTGCTCCAATTTGTAAGTCCAGTATCTGGCCTCCTCCTCTGGGATATCTACCATGAAAAAGAAGAAATTACATTACGAGGTTAATAATTTGATCATGCACCAATAATCCTTTATTCCAACAAATAATCAAGGTAGAAAGTGATGGACAATTTTACTGGTGGGCTTGGTTCTTGACATGAATATGATCTTGCATCTTCACAGAAAACAAAATAATATTCTATTATTCCCACTGGATCAGAAGACTTATTGTCAAAATGTCAATACTACCCAGTGTGATCTACATATTGAATGCAATCACTATCAAAACCTCAATGATTTCTTTTGCAGAAATAGGAAACCCCATTCTAAAACTCTTAAGGGAAAAAAATAAATAAAATTTATAGGGCATCCCAGTAACTCCAAATAGCCAAAAACAATCTTGAAAAGGAAGAACAAAACTGGAAGACTCACATTTCCTAATTTCAAAACTTACTATAAAACTACAGTAATCAAAACAACATGGCACAGACATATAGAAAAATGGAATAGAATAGGGAGCCCAGAAATAAACCTTCACATATAGTCAAATGATTTTTTGACAAGGGTACCATGAACATTCAATAACAGGAGTACCTGGCTGGCTAGGTCAGAAGAGCATGTGACTCTTGATCACAGGGTTGTGAGTTTGAGCCCCATGTTGGGTATAGAGATTAAATAAAATCTTAAAAGAAAAAAAAACACTCAATAGGGAAAAGCATCTTTCAACAAATGGTGCTGGGAAAACTAGATATCCACATGCAAAAGAACGTTGGACATTTACCTAACACCACATACAAAAAATTAACTCAAAATGAATTAAGACCTAAACTGAAGACCTAAAACTATAAAATTCTAAGAAAATATAGGGCAAAAGCTGAGTGATGTTGGATTTGGCAATGATCTCTTGGAGAGGACACCAAAGGTACAAGCCATGACAGAAAAAGCAGACAAAATGGACTTCATGAAATTAAAAAAAAAAAAAAAAAAAAAAAAAAAAAAAAAAAAAAAAATTCTGCATCAAAAGACACTATCAACAGAATCATAGACAGAGAAAATATTTACAAAATATATCTGATAAGGAATTAACACTCAGAATAGAGAACTCAAATTCAAGAACAACAAAAACCCAATTCAAAAATCAAGAAAGGACTTGATAGACATTTCTCCAAAGATGATATACAAATAACCAATAAGCACATGAAAAGATGTTCAACATTATTGATCATTAGGAAAAATACAAATCAAGACTACAATAAGATCCCCCTTCACACCCAATAGGATGGCTACTATCAAAAAAAGAGAGGGGCGCCTGGGTGGAGCAGTCGGTTAAGCGTCCGACCTCAGCCAGGTCACGATCTCGCGGTCCGTGAGTTCGAGCCCCGCATCGGGCTCTGG